ACGTGTCAACGTGTTAAAAATAACGATTTTGGTGTTGAAAAAAAAACTCCAGTAATATTCATTACTACACCAAAGGTTCCAAACAGTACATCATAAGTTTTGAAAGTGTTGAATCTGAATCGGATACGTTATCAAATGTGAAAAATTAAACATCTCTCGCTACAGATAACATTAAATAAATTTAAAAAATAGACATTTCAACACAAATCTCTATTTTGTTTTAGGTATTTTAATAAGAACCATTGAAAGATTGCTTAGAAAAGGAAAGGAAATAATTTCTGCAAATAACAGAGAAGTAAAATTTTCCACCCCAAGAAAGAAGCGGCCTAGAAGAGCACCATTAACTGATATTCCCGAGTATGAGTATTCCAATACAAGACGGATCATTCACGATTGTCATAAGAGGAGAGGGTGTCGTGTTACGGTAAAAAAGTTCCAACACAAAATTAATGACGTCTTATCAGAAATAACATAGTGTACTGTGCAAAGTGAATGCTAAGATGAAAAAATGAATAGATACATTAATGATTTCCAAATAAATTCCATGGAAATATTTTCAGACAAAAATATTTCCAATCTCGATGACGTACTGAACAGATCAAACACCAGTCTCAATATAATATATACAAATATACGAAGTATATCAAAATATGCAGATGAATTGAAAATTTTTTTGGGGAAAACAGCAAATGAATTGGATTTTATAGTACTAGCAGAAACTTGGGTCATCCAAAACATTCCGGTTCATTGTATTGTGTGATATGACCTCATCTAATTCAAAATGATGGTCTTCTTATTTTCTTCAAACATGGTATCAATCTCTAATACAGCATAATATATATTACAGGAATATATAGATCACCTTCACAAAATATCAAAGTTCTTAATGAAAAGCTGGACGAATATTTGCGGCAGTGTCCAAAAACTAACATCCATATTATCATAATGGGCGATACTTATATTAATATTCTGAACAACAATGAACAAGTACAAGACTACCTAAATGTAATGGGGGCACATGGATATTTGTCAATAGTCAATACGTACACGAGAAACATTAAAAACTCCAAAACATGTATTGATCATATATTTAAAAAAATACTCTCGATGAATATTTCTGTATACCAGTTAAGTTGGAAATGAGTATTACCGATCATTATCCTATAGTATTACAAATCTATTCGCCTGAAAAATAACAATATCCCAATAAAACGAAATTAGTTTCCTACTCCTATATCCAATTATGTACTTCAACAAGCAAATACCAATTATCTGATATCAAACGTGAAGGGTTGATAAAAAAAAGGTATATTCCTATGAAACATATCTCCAACCAAGAGAACGTAAAAAACATCGTAATAAACTGAATGACCCAAAAAAAACAAAACAAATATTACCAAAATGAAATAACACTTAATCATTATGATTCTTCAACTCTTTGGTGTTGCTTGAATGATATATCGAACTGAAATGAAAATCAAAATGAAATTCTTGATGAAACAGAAAATGGACAAATTCTCAGGGGAAAACTAGACAACGCCAATAGATTCAACGAGAACTTTACAAACATCGGAAATAATTATCAGAAGAAATTCAAATCAGAGCCAGCTTCTTACCCAACAAACTTCGAACCTGTCGATTACATTTATTTTACTTAGAAGAGAGTATTGGAAAGCAGTCTTTGGAAATAAAAAAATTAAGCACCTGGCAAGGATGATATAACGGCCGATACTCAACATCTTATAGCATATCACACCTATATACTGTTGAGACACATCATGAACCTCTCACTAAAGACTGATATTTGTCCAAAACCATTCAAAACGGTTATTATGAAGGTTCTTTCCGAAACAGGATCGAAACGAAAAGTCTCAAATTATAGACCAATTTCATTAATCTCGAATCCATCGAAAATCTAGAGAAACTGCTTTCCAGTTACTACTTTCCGGTGGATTCAGGAACCATGAACAATGTACCAAAACTAAAGACTGCATACGTCCTATCCGAGAAATTGAATTTGGTGTTCCACAATTAGAAGACCTATTCAAAATGAGTGTGGAGGGAATGTGATGAGCTTTGCTGATGACACAGCAGTATTGAATTGGAAAATTTAGTAGAATGGAACTTCAGAGCTATCGTTGAAGAGTTTGACGGGCAACTACTAACAGTAAATACAGACAAACATACTTCATTCCTTTCACTTCTCCCTTCAAAATTTTGAATAATTTTGACACCATACAGATCGAAGAAACTAATGAAATTGTTAGTCTGAAAAGGGCAGAAAGTTGCAGATACTTAGGAAATCACCTCGATTGTTACTTGAAATAGGCGTATAATATTATTATGTAGTGAAGAAACTGAGAATTATTCTATTTAGAATGAAACATTATTCCAAAATACTCACCACAGGCCAAATCAAAATATTATATTATGCCCTGATCGAGAGCCACCTCAATTATGAAATCATTGTTTGTGGGGCAGCCAATAAAACGTTTATCAAAAACCTAAAAAAAATAATAGGGACCGGCCAGCGCAATTTACGGAAAATGAAAATACTATCATGACACACGAAATACCAAAATATCAGGTTCACCGTACCCGGTGCCAGGAATGGCCATTGCGGGAAATTGATCAAAGTAATTGGTGCGACCTATCATTGGCTTGGAGCAATCGGAAGTATGCACATTACTAGACAAGTTTAGAGTAAAACAATGATGATGACGAAGTTATTTATCGAAAACAAAATATACAGAATTCCTTGAAATGAAAATGAATTATTGCCACTGAATGTTTGCTCATCCCACCTATTCACTAAAGATAGGTAAGTATAGAGTGTCCTACATTAAAATTACAAAAAGTTTAGGCACAACTGATAATCGAACATAAAATGCTGTGAAAGTAAGTGTTCAAATAGTATTCTCTGGAACATCTAATACCAAAGGATATCTTAATACTTGATGGAAGAGAAATAATCACTTTGTCAATGTCGCAGATGAATAAATTATCACAGATGAATTTGGAACACAAGCAAAGAAAGCCAATGGTCATTTTTCAATGTAACTGGCGGGACCAGTCATTGGGTCGGAGAAGGGAAAGTACGTACCTGACTGGGTAATTTTAGATGTAAAATAACTTTATATTCATGAATGTACCAGTTGCTGCCCGCGGCTTGGCCCGCGTAGAATTTGGTTTGTCATATCAAGTTTTGTGACAGACAATTTCAAACAAATGGGTCAGGTCTCCAACTGACAACATTCAATACAATCTTTGAACCCCTATTTTTTCCTCTGGGGTGAAAATTCCTGATTCCCTTTCCAAGAAAATGCCAACTGCACTGAGTAAAGAAAAGATTCAAAAACAGAATTATGTTACTTATGAAGAAATTCGAAAAACTAATACAACCATGACCGACGTCTGCCCGCGTTCGAGTCGCATTCTCGGCGATGGTGCTTCATTGCTCAGACACACGCGCATCGTCCGCGTCGGCTTACAGTAGAAGCGACGCGTAATGGCTTACTGAGTTTTACTAATTTTGATCGATAATGATATTCTAAATCCAACAATACTTCATTTGTCAATTTTTGACAAATAAGATCATTTTCATTCCAATTTTTATTTTTTGATCTAAAATGCCATGGATCGTGTAAATCGCTTTATTTTTGTTCAAGATAATGGGAAACCTACGACTTTGAGGCTTATAACTTCACAGTCGTTTTAAAAATTATTTCACTGTCGCAAATATGAATTTTTCTAGTTAACTTGATTTTTTTAAAAGGAAAGGGGGTGGCTCGTCGGCTTCTTACGAATAATTTAATGCCAGTTATGTATATAAAACCCTCCTTTATGATTATTTATCAAATGCTGTCTAAGCTATAATGAACATATAAAAGCTACCTATCTACAAGGAAGAGTCAGTTCTGTTAGTACGATTGTTAGAGTAACTTCTGTACAATAAAGTCTTTGATTGATTGTATCGCACGCAGGTGTGCTCCTGATGTCCAGTGACTTCTCAACCCATCACATGATGACGGTAGGGTAAAATGTTGAAGAAACCATATTGGCAGCCTACTTGACCTGGGTGAACGAAAGGTCAACAGTTCTTGGTTACCTTTTCCGATAAAAAATTGATTTGAAGTAATAATTATGTGAATCTATATACTCGTTCATGGCGTGAACAGTCTGTCAGTTCAAAATATGTATCGAACCGTTCGTTTTTCTTCTAAGATCCTGATTTTCTTACTCTGGGTATGCTTTCACTCCGTTAATGGTTGTAAGCAGCTCAGTGGTAGTATCTAGATATTTCTACAGAACACCTCAACTCTCCAGCGAAAACACCTGTGCTTCATACTCACTTTTCAGGACATGATAACTTCTACAATCACTTAAACTCATTGCTCCAGGTACTTTCCACAGCGTAAATTTCTCTTGATAACTCAATGTGAGCAAACTCCTCAAACAATTACTTTTTTACGATAACGGAGAATTGAATCAGTGCAATCCCTGAAGTTCAAGGAAATTCAGAAAATTTCTCTTTTCGAGTATTTTTTTGAGCCTGTGAAAAATACTGAAGTGATTTGATGAATATATAAATGTTGTTAGAATGAATACTGGAGTTTTAGGAGGAACTTTCCACTTAATCTCCAACCCTTCGGTAACTATTTTCAATGCATAATAAGTGTAATTTTTACGGGTATCTTCTAAATCACAGTGATTTCTATCGCAAAGAATGGAGATCACTGCCAAATCAATGATTTTATATCAATATACATCATATTCCTGTTGTCAACATGAATATTGCACCGCAATACCTTCATTATTGGGATTGTTTTCATGTATTGAAAATTCATATCTTTACTAACCTTGAAGTATTTTTTCTGCTCAATATTCAGCAAGAATGAATATATTAGCTGTAACACCTATGCTTGCTATTCACTAGAATTCACTCTAATTGGAGGATTTTTAAATATGTATGAATAGATAAAAAATATTGTTATCAACAGGTTTAACTGAAGGTTTGAATGAAAAAGTGTGTCCCACATTGTCCTGTGCAATGCTTCAGATGATGGATACGACCCAGTTCCATGATGACATTCTGAAAGAAGTCACTGATGATGAGATGGGGGTATTAGCAGACTTGTACAAAAATCAGAGTATTATGCCGAATGCAAGTAATGCATTGAGCAACTCAAAACGTCAGAGGCAACAGGGATGTTGTGCCATGAGAATTTTGTCTCCTAAGAATGGAAAAGAGGATGGAACTTTTTTTGTATTGTTAGAGGTGAGTGTGAAATGTTGTGAATTTATATACAAAATTCATCATCCATCTGGTAATAAGTGGTTTTTCGTAATCAGTAGATTCAATGAATTGGTGATTTTTATTTGAGTCTAGTGGAATGGAACAAAGATATTAAACTTATTAGTTATTTTTAATCTCCTTTGTATATATTCTAGTTGGTTCTAATAGTCCCTAGGCTCTATCCAAAGATTGGCTGAATGCTTATGCCCGTTAGGGTATGCACAAACAAAAATAAATTTTGGTGATTATAAAAATAATAATGGGAATTATTCTGCTTTGGACCAAGGTCCTTGGTCTTCCACCATATCCACCATGTATAGGAATATTCAATACAAATGAAAGGAAACAACAATTACTTAAATAATATTGTGCTTATTGTTTTCTACTATTATTTTTACTATCTTCATGGCCCGAAATTTCCTAACTTTTCCAAGTCGAAAAAACAGCAAGAAGTTGGGAATTTTGTGGACTGTTTTCTCATTTGGGAGAAATTAAACTTTTTTGAAGATTTCAAATAACTCAGAATTAGGTATGCATTTTGGGAAATCCCAACCTTCTCCTGGTTCTTCACGTTTTCTTATTACCTCTCCTTTTCTTTTCTCTAATTTTAATTTTTTTAATTTTTATTCATTTTGTTACTATTATTTGTTTTATCTTCACGGCCCAAAATTTCCCAACTTTTTCCCAAGTCAAAAAAGCAGGGGGGGAGGCTCCCCCCATCACCCCCATGGCGACGGCCCTGATTACGGTATATTATCTGCATGTAACTCCCAACGGTATAGGCTGCGCACATCAAGATAAATTCATGGAGCAAGCATTTTTCCAACTTACTTAATACTTATGGATATATTAAAAACAAATTTACACAAAACCTTTATTAATTGTAGCCTGTATGTTATTCTGATGTATAGGCTGATATTTATGTAAAGTGTCATTTGAATCTGTCCAGTCGTTCTGACGTGAAAGAGCCACACACATACATACATACACCCTCACAAACTTTCACATTTATATTAATATAGATTCATATTTGGAAATGTGCCAATCTGAACAACTTTTTTCGATAACTTTTTGTATTTCTAAAAAACGAAGGGTACTTCACTCTGGAACCAATTTCCGTTCTTTGAGTTTTGGATTATGCAGAACTTTTCATGAAGATCGAATGGTGAGAAAGTTATCAAAGTGCTTGGAAAGATGGTGATCCGTTGACGAGGGATCTGGGGAGTATAGTGGGGGCGTTGTCGTTCTGTTGACCTGTGTCAGCTGCCCGGATAACATTATTTTTGGTATATTTCATCAAAATAGATCTCTGCTTTGATATTCTAGTATGTTTGCAGAAAGTTATAGTGAATCACGCCAACCGCTGACCACCATACAGTAACGGTCTATTTTTGGTGGGTTCTCGCCTATGGGAAGTACCTGGGTGGCTCATCGGTATCCAACCACTATATAAAATATAATCGTATTACTTGTGCAAAATCAAACAATAGACTTCGAAACCTGATAATTTTTGTCGATCGTTCAAATCGTGGGGCACTCACTTTTCGAGCTTTCCATCTTTCCAATACGTTTCAAAACATGAAAAACCGCATAGAGGCTGAAGCCCAGTTTTTCGCGCCATATCAAGCATCGTTCGTGATGGGTCAGTCTCCAACAGAGTCCTCAAATCCCAATCTTCTATTACTGCTTACAGGCTTCTGCACTCAAGACGAGGTAGTAATCCAAATTTCCATATCGGGCAAGGACGGTAAGACGAATATTATCGCCTGCTCCGTCTACTATCCGGGAGATTCAGATATCGTACCTTCTCTAGCTGTTACACGACCTATCGACTACAGCAAAAGGAACAAACTTCAAAATAGTAATGAGATGTGACGCTAATTCACCCCATACACCGTGGGGCAGCACGAATATAAATCACAGAGGTGAGTTACACTCTTTGATAATACAAGGTGATTCAAAAGTACTTTGACAAACTTCAGGAGGTGATTCCTCACAATATTGTAATATTAATTGTCCAAATAAATAAATGTCCGGAAACGCTTCGTTTCCAAGATACAGGATGTTGAAGTTTTATTTTTATTTTCGTTTTTTTCAAATAACTTTTGAAATACTGAACTTAATTAAACGAAACTTGGTAATAGGGGGTTTTTGAGGTGACGAATTCGAGCCTGATGTTTTTATTGCTATTACTCGTAGGGAGCGCCACCTACACGTCTTTTTCTTTTTTTTTAAGATTCGTAACTTTTTTTGGGCTTACTTCTAGCACATTTTTCAGTAAAAAAATCGATTCCTCTATCATATCTACGTAAATAAGCTACCCTTCTCACGAGCCGCTGTAAGCAACCGTTTTCTAAATATTTGGACTTGAAAACTTCAAGTCGATTATTTGATAATCGATGCATGTTGAAGTTATTACGAATATTTTGCATTTTTACAAGAATGCTTTGGAAATAAATTTGACGTTTGTGAGTAGTTTTGGTGATTACATATTTTGTGACAGTTAGAGGTTTTGTTGAAGTTTCCATAAGTAAAAGTAGAAAAGACTTATTTTGGAAAAATGGATTATTTAAACAATAATGCTCATTTAGCCGATATGAATTTCGTTTGTGGCCTTGCGGATGGCAATGCGCGAAGCAAGACGTATTTACCAGGAGCGATTTCCTAATCGAGTAGTGCCTTCAGCTACAACATTTGCTAGTCTCCATCGTCGTTTGGCAGAAACAGGTAGCTTTAAGAGGGCAGCTGATATTATTGGAAGACCACGAGTAGTCCGAACCCCAGAATTGGAAGAAGCAGTCCGAACCACAGAATGTACCATTAGAAATTCGTATCCGCATGTGGTTTATGCATGATGGGGCTCCGGCCCACTTTAGCGTTGTAGCCAGGGAATTAATTAACACAGTCTATCCAAATCGATGGATCGGTAGGGGTGTAGAAGAACCAAACCAGGCGTGGGCATCAAGGTTCCCAGATCTAAACCCGATATATTTTTATTTTTGAGGACATTTGAAGTCACTAGTATATAAGACTCCAGTAGTAAACGAGGAAGATCTAAGAAACCGAATAGTAGACGCCTGTGAAACAATAAGAAACACACCAATAATTTTTGAGCTGGTACGAGATTCAATGACTAGACGACTGACTGCCTGTATCTTCGCTTTGAGGGCTCGGAACCTACTTTTGTCACTAGTAATAGGCAAGAGGTATTGGACTCAACCATCAGCTTACATTCTCTGAGCAACAAGATACACCATTGGTCTATATCTACTGAACCTTCTTGTTCAGACCATAGCTATATTCTTTTCAATATTAAGACAGGTCTAAGACCAATAGTGGAATATCGTGACTCAAAATCTACTGATTCGAGTGGGTATGAAAACTCCTGCCAATCGTACTTTGATGACGGATTCATTACTATTCACAGTTGTAATAATACGGATACAGTAGCGGAGCAATTTCGCAAAGCAGTGATTTCATCCTATTATGACTATCCACTGAAGTTTGAAAGAGATTACCATAACTCTTCTTGGTGGAACCAAAGCCTGGAAAAGCAAAGGAAAAAAGTTCGACGATTATTCAATCAAGCTAAAGAGTCAGGTAACTGGGAGCTTTATAAGAACACTCTAACGACATACAACAAGGAAATTAGAAAGGCAAATCGGGTGTCTTGGAGGAAATTCTGTGAGAGTATCTCTGATTCACCTCGCAGCACAAGAATTCACGAGATTCTCTGTAGAGAGCCGACTGCTGAAATTGGGTCGCTCAAACGATCCGATGGAAAATTCACGACCTCTTGTAGAGGAACGTTAGAGCTTTTGCTAAAAAATCACTTCGAGGGCGCTAAACGCTCAAAAAAGAACGATTGGGAGGTCGTCAAGAATGTTATCACAGCACAGACATTTGAATGGGCTACCAAGTCGCTTAAGACCTTCAAATCTCCTGGAGAGGATGATATATTTCCAGCTATTCTTCAAAACGTACTAGAAATGATTTTACCTATTCTTATAAAATTATATAGAGCTAGTCTGGCTCTGAAGTGGGTCGGAAAGACCAACACCCTAAATCGGTACATCCTTCCTGTTGAAAGGACTTGAGAGGATACTAGAGGGACACATCAGGAGGGTGGCATTATATGCATCCCCCTGAATAATCACCAGTATGCTTATCAAACCGGCAAATCGACAGATTCAGCATTGAATAACCTTGTAGAGAAAATCTCCCAATCCCTTAACAACAAGGAGATTGCGGTTGCTGTATCTCTCAATATGGAAGTAGCATTCGACAATGCACTACCTAAATCTATAGGATCGTCTCTGGCTAGGAAAGGTATAGAATCGACCATAACTGGATGTATCTATGCCATGCTGGTAAACATAACAGCAACTATAACTCTTCAAGGCAAGGCCATTAGGTTCAGGGTCACCAGGGGCTTTTGTGGTCGCTCCTGATGGATAGTCTGCTTGATGCCCTCGACAAAAGATGATTAGATCTGATGACCTTGTCATCTTGGCAAGGTCCACATCGGGAAGGGTAGCTTGTAATATCCTCCAAAGCATGTTGGACGTTGTTCACAGTTGGTGCCTGAGGGAGCAGATGTCTGTCAATCCCAGCAAAACTGTGTTAATCCCTTTCACCAGGAGGAGAAAATTGGATAATCTAACGCCACTTCTCCTTGGCATTTTCCTCGATAAAAAAATTACCTGGTACGCTCACTTGGGAGAAGTTTTATATAAAGGTCCCGAACAAATCCATTGGATTTTGGTGATGATTGTCAGACCAATGATCACTCGTGGTGCAATTGCCTGGTGGCCGAAGGCTTTATAGAAAACGGCTCAGGCGAAGCTGTCTGACTTATAGAGACAAGCTTGTCTGGCCATCAGTGGTGCCATCAGTACCGCATCATCAGCGGCCATGGAGATCCTTCTAGCTCTACCTCTTCTTCACATTTCTCTGGAGAGAGACTGCATATAGACTTGTGC